GTTAAAAATTAAAAATAATGTTTTAAAGGCTCAAATGGTCAATACTAGTTGTAAATGAAGAATGTCTCCAACTTGAATTTCTTTTTTTTTCTCTTCAGCTTTCCTCCTTATAAATTCATGTGGTTTAACTGTACATTAGGTTGACAAGAACAGGTTAAGATGATTATGAAAGCATCATCAAATAAGACTTAATATATGACAGGCTCTGTATGAGCTGAAGTGAATTCGTATCCCTGTCCTTAGGGCAGCTGTGTAGTTGTGTGGAAAGTTAAACAAGAAAGTACATAGTTTGATGATTGAGTGCAAGTATGTACAATATATACATAGGAGGAGAACTTAATTCTGTCTGAGATGATGTTTGGGAGGAGGTAACACTTGAGACCCAGATTGAAAAACTTAAGTTTTGTATGTGAGGGAAATGACCTATACAGTAGTGTTCCAGGGAAAGGAAACTGGAAGAAAAGATTTGTAGCATGAGAAAGCATGGTATGTTTGGGAAACCACACAGTATGGAGCTTAGTATTTCAGTGTATAAAAGGGAGAATGTGAGAATTCTATCCCAAATGAGACAGTGGAATATATCTGGGATTTCTCAAAAATTGTGGCTTCCAAGGACAGTGAATGATGCTGCTGTTCACTGAGTTAGACTACAAAGGGTGTGAGGGCTGAGGGGTGGTAAACTCAATGGTAGATGTCATGCTCTAGGTCCTGAGTTCAATCTCTTGGTCTAAAATAAAGTTAGACATGAGGTTGAGAAGTTAATGAGTTCAGTTTTAGACATTGCTCTCAAGGCATTTAGTAACTATTTAGGGGAAACTGTCCATTGGACTTTGGAGGATTTATAGAGTTGGGTTGCAGGAAAGAATATTGGGTTAGCAATTCATATGCATTTATCAATAGTGCCCTTACAGTTTTTGAAGACAAGGATGTAGGTATGTTTGGTGAATATTGAAGGATCTATAGTTATCACCAATGTGTAAGGGCTGGGAGAAGATGATTACCAAATCAAATACAGAGAATTACAAAAAGAAAAGCATTAAAAGGATAAACAGTCATCAGGCTTGGTGATCCATATTTGTAGACCTCACTACTGTGAAGGCTGAGACAATAAAACTTACATCGTCTTAGAATTTTATGCAGAAATTAAAATTACAACTAAATCCAATTAACTATAATTTTTGATGTTCATTCCAAGTACACAGGAGCCACTTAGTTATTTTCTCTGTGAAGTAAAGAAGCATGGTCTTTTGGTGGGTTCGGGGGGTGGAATTATGAGGCTAATTGTAAAGGATTAATTAACGGATGAGAGATGTAAGGAGCTGAATGTCATTCTGTTGAGTATTTTAGAGCACTGGTAGTAGTGTGATGGACAGATGATATAGGGAATGTAGATAAAAGTTAAGGAAAAATTTTTTCTTAAAATTACATTTTTATTTTACCCATTTTGTGTGCCTGGAGGAGGGATGGTAGTGACCGATGCCATGGTGCATGTGTGGGGGTCAGAGGACAGCTTGAAGGATTTTGTTCTCTGTTACCATGTGGGTCCTAGATGTCAAACTCCAGTTGTTAGGCTTAACAGTAGATGCCTTTACCCTTTGAGGCATTGTGCTAGCCCCAAAGTTGATGAACTTTTAAAAAATGTTATTAGTCCAGGAATATAAATGGAGGCTGGATGGTTGAATTAACAGGCAATTACAAGGTGGTAAGACTGCTTTTTTAGAAGAATCAAGGGTGGTGGTAGAGAGAATAACTTTAAATTGTGGGGGTAGGTTGGTACATTGTTTTAAAAGATGACTGTGAATGCAGACTGGATCTTTATACCAACTCATACAGGAAAATAAATTTTAAAGGAATTCACGAATAGTATTGTAAAGTATGTAGGATGAATGAATTAAACAACTGGTGTGAGGAAGACCTAAGTTAATAGGACTAGAGCTAAAATGATTGGGTGATTTAATTGCCGAAAAGTAAAATGTGGGGATCAAGGTATTACCCTGGGAATAATTATGTAATTGAAGAACAGCTGACTAATTGGGGGGGGAATATTGGTGGTGTGTGTCCTACATGTGGTCATGTCAGTGGATGACTCAAGTGACACAGATTTTCAAGGGACCAAGAGAATGCCTGGTCCTTAGCCAGAGATTTACAAAATCATATCCATCTGGACATCAGAAGGCAGAGTTCAAGACCAGCCTAGGCAATAACATAGGAAAACTCAGTCTCAAACCTGTAAAAGTGCATGCATGCATGTGTACACACACACACACACACACACACACACAGAGAGAGAGAGAGAGAGAGAGAGAGAGAGAAAGAAAGAAAGAAAGAGAGACAGAGAATGAGAGAAAGAATGGGAGAATGAGAATGAATTATCTGGTATTGTGGGGAATGGAAATCAAGAAATGGCTTCCGGAAGTGTTTTTTTCAAAATATTTTTTTTTAGGTTTGTTTTTTTGTTAATATTTTCTTGTTTTGGGGCTTCTTAATGTCTGCGGGGGGTACCAGACCCAGTGATGTTTTAGATAGGGAGGGGAAGGTGTAGCATAGATGGAAGAATGTGGACCTTGAGGGCTACGACACTCACATAGTATTTCTTGCCTTTCCTGACTCTTTCAGTCCTTGTGGAGCTATCAAGTCTGATGATTGGGAGAAATGTGAAAATGATAGGACTGGCAACCTATTCATGAATCCTACTCGACTCCAAAGTCATAAAAAGTGTATAGATTAAGGTTTTCTTCCCTGGGTTTGCAAGATGGGCATAACTTTATTAGAGCCAAGAAATTTGATCTTAGGCTTTTTCATCTTAAGTGCACTGATTTTATATAGACATACTGAAGTAAGAACTTTTTATCTTTTTGAAATAAAATAATTGTCATGATGAAGGTGGATTCAGGTGTAATCTCATTCCGAAGAAGATAGTTGGAAAAATTAGGAAGGCTGAGATATAGGATACAGTTAATTTCCACATACAATAACATTATACTGATTTTAAAAAAATCTTGCGATTGATGATAAAAGGTAGAAGAAAGTGAGTTTAAACTGGAAAAGCTAAGAAAATGGACAGTCCTGTGTCTCATTAACTCTATTCAGTAAATATTTATTGAGGGAATCCTGTCATTTGCGAGACACTGCATAAAAGAAGCAGGGAGGGTGTACCCCATGCCAAGCACAGTACTCATTGGCCTTTGCATGGATTATTTCATTAAATCCTCACAACAGCCTTTCAAGTAAAAATAGTTTTCCCATTTTATAAATGAGAAGATAGAGGGTTTAGAGAGTTTAGGTAATTTTCTTAAGATCCCATGGTTTTTGAAAAGGAAAGAACTTAATTTCAAAATTCCAGGCAAAGGTCTTTACTGAACATTTATTCACTGTGGCACCTTGGACTGGGGTCTGTAATCCACCTTAGAATTCTCAAGGTAAGTTTTATTATTGTACCAGTTGTAACTAGTTTCATAATGCCCATTGGATGAAGTTATAAGCTCAAATTGGGAAAATCTCCTTAACAATACTGGAAAGGAATATTCCTAGCCCATTACATTTTATGTAGCTAGTTTTTATTTTTATTTTTCCTTTACATTTTCTTATATTCCACTTTGATTAATTAGTGTAGTTAGTATTTTTAAAAATGGGGTTTTTTTATTCCTAAAAAAAATCTACAAAAATTATTGAGGTCTGCTTTGAAATCCTGACTTACTGTGTTTTAGTAGTACTGTTTTATTTTTCATATATGAACTTTTTATTATGAAAGTACACTGTAGTTTTAAAAATCCAGTTGAGAAAATACTTTTTAGGATTAGGAAAATAATTTTTCTTATGAAGTATGAGGAGTGGGCTTTATTCATTTAAAATTATGTGCCTTTGACTAGTTACTGGCCTTTTTAAAAGGTAGCATGTTCTAGTTTTTTCTTGTGTCTTTTTTTTTCACCCTATTATTTTCACTCTTCCCTTCTAGTCTCTTTTCTAAATTGGTATCAGCAACTGTCTTTTAATTAAATTGAATTTGCACTAAATTTCTGATGTAGATGGCTTTGCCATTCCTTTCCTAAAAGGACAAGAATATTATCTATGCTCGGTAACTGGGTGTTGCTGTTCACTTGTACTGTACTGGGAAGGAGGAGGGGAAATTTAAGGTGTAAAACAAGAAGTCTTTTCCTAAAGGCATTAGGGACTAGATATTAAATACATCTTTAACCAAAAGCAATCAGGAAATTATAACAAAGGCTAAGCATTTCTTAATCTTTAAATTGGGGTTTTCGTTTAATATTTCATTCTTAAGTGACAAAAATGATTCACTGAGCCATATTTTTTAGGGCTAATCAAATAGAAACAGCTAGGGGTTGCATATCTGTTCATTTCACCCTAAAACATCATTACTTAGGCTTCATTACTTAGGCTTCTTGAATTATTTAGCTTATTGAATTTGGATGTTAGAGTTTGTTGTATGTATTGTAATTTGTTAAATTTAAAACCTTTTTATAGTGCCCCAGCAGTTCTACCTTAAAAAAGAGAACACCCCTCTGCTTAAAAGCAATGGTACTTCCTGCTTTCATAAACAGTCATGTGCATAGTTTAGCAAGGCCTGATGCCTCTGGAGCTTTTTCCCTTTATAGCACCATTGAATCCCAGTCCTAACAGAAGTGCTGTGGATCTTGTGGCCTCATTCTGAACAAAAGGGATTAGAAAAGAAAAATCTCTTGATATAAGGCTTGTAAGCAAGGGCAGGCAATCTTGGTTGTGAATATTTTCTGATTTTTCCAGAAATCAAGCAGAAGATTGAGCTGCTGATGTCAGTTAACTCTGAGAAGTCGTCCTCTTCAGAAAGGTACAGCTACATCTCTTGCATGAACAATTAATGGTGTAGCATTGCTAAGAAACAAACAGGATGTAATTTTTTTTTTCTAGTCAAGTTTGCTGTATAATGTATTGTACTGCATGCTGGCATTGTGCTGTATTGAAGATGTGTATTTGGGCAAGCTGTTCTGCTTTTGCGAAGGGTAATTGGTTTTTTTTTTTTTTTTTAAAGAAAAATAGTGAAGCCTAATCAGCTGCAGCATGCACAGCATAACACAGCAGACTGCTGGTTCATGTGTGACAGCTGTTGAAAGCTTAAGAAATAATTTAATCAAGAAACAAAAATCTTGCTTTCTTTAAGGAAATACTGAGATTTTGTTCTTGTATTTTGAGGTTGTGGCTACACAGAATTACCGAGGTTATTTGTAGTATCTAGCTTAAAAATACTTGATTTTTGGTTGTAATAAGAAATTTTTTTTTTAATGTAGAAAAGGGAGTGCCATTTGTAAATAGCTTAGGAATTGCAAACCCACAGATTAGTCACATTCTGAAAAAGAGATATGATGCTTCTTCAAGTCTGTGCTAGGAAATGGAACAGTCACTGCATGCAGTAATCGTTCATGCCTGCAGGTAAGGACAAAATGACTCAGAAGTATTTTTAAAGCAATTATTTCATCTGTCAATCATAAGATTATACCTGTAAGGAGATAGTTTATTAAAATGACGTTTTGCCTTATAAGCAGAGTTAAGATTATTTTTTTATCTGAAGTAAAAAATGAGACTAGAGTTCCCTATTTGGATATGTAAATACTGTGCTCACTTCTGTTTGTGAAATTGTGTATGCTCCTTAATGTTTTAAATTGAGGTTCTTAGGCAGTTGATGGCTGCCTTTTCTCTTTATTACCTTATCAATTTATTCTTAATGTTGAATTTGTACTTAATAGCATATTTTATCTTTCTATGGCTAATTTCCAGGGCTGTCTTTGTTATTCATAGATTTAAAATTTAGGAAAATAATGTGGTGAAATTACTTGGTGATAGAGGAAATGATGCAGAAAAAATACTGGAAAAATACTGTTAAAACAAAAACTAGCTGAACCTACCATGACAAAATGGATTTAAAGTACAGTAGTTTCTGAAGGATATGATCTGATGACATGATCATGTTATATTGATTTATCATTATAATTACTTGAAAAGCCTCTGGTTACAGCTTAGGTTACAAATAAAGATGTAAGTGCTTTCTATAGGGATTGAAAATAGAAAAATTAAATGTTTGTTTATTTTCTGTGTAATTTCTAACTTCTGGTTTGTAGCTAGCTGCCTGATGTTAATCATTCTGTTTGCTGAGATGCAAAACAGTCTTCAGCTTTCTGAATATTCTACCAGTAAAATGGTGGTAATGGGAATGATAGAAGGTAGGGGTGTAGATTGTGAACAGTCCAAGTATCAACTGTAATGTTAGAGTTTTGTACTAGGAGGAACATACCTAATGAGATGACAGCAGTAATTATGTTAGCCTTTTGTGGTATCATGAATTCTTTATTGATAAATTGAGGGCTGAACAGAGAAGATAAATATTTCAGAAAAAAACTAGGAGTGAGTAATATTTTTTTTTCTGGCTAAAATTCGTTTTATAAGGAAAAATACTCAAGTATTTTGATGATTTTATTTACTTAGATTCTGTGGTAATTTGAAAAAGAGAATATGTGTTGTCATGGTTATAAAGCTTAGAAATCAACCACTATGCAGATAACTTTATACACAGTTCACCAGAGCTTGCTTTGTTGATTATTATTTTAGTAGGGTTACATAGAATTATATTAAGCAATTGTGACATGCTTACATAAAGGGTGGCAATATGGTTTATGTATCTGTTTAGCACTTTGCAAGTATTGAAGTTGTTTAATTTCACAATTTCTTTTTTTCCCTCTTTTATTAAAAGCTATACAATAATGATTAGTCATGCCATTTGATACTTTATTTGGAAGAATCTGAAAAATTATAACCAAGTTAAGAAAGTTCATGACCTAATAATACGGTACCCTACACAGGATTTAATACCTTATTCAGAACCTCGTCACAGTTTTCTGCTCTTCGATCACCAGTTATTGCATTTTGAAAATCTTTGATTTGACTTGTTTTTAATATTAAAAGTTCATGGTTTTAGGCATAGTGGCCTAAGTATTAAAGATATTTGGAATTTTCATAGGATCACAGTTCTCCAGTGTGTATGGGTAGATAGGTAATCTTTCTCCATAGAAGGAGAAGCTATTCAGGTGTATGAAACCAGAAGTTGTCATTCCATGTAACCAGTTTTGTTTCTGTAATTGAGAAGATCTGTTGATAGTTCAGAGAACTTAGTGAAGAAACAGCATTTCTAAATACAAAATGTAGTTAAGTATAGAAACTGATGTTTTTATTTTTCATCTTAAATTTTTAGAGTTCTACATAGAAAGTGCTAATCTTAGAAAAACTAGTATTGGTTTAAATTTTTAAGGTTTATTTTTATTCATGTGTGCATGTGTGTATGTGTATGTCTACCACACATGTATGGGTCCCTACAGAGGGTAGAACAGGGTATAAGGTTCCCTGGAGCTACAATTGCAGGTACTTATGAGCTGCCTGATGTGGGTGCTGGGAGCTGGACTCAGGTCCTCTGGAAAAGCAGCAAGTGCTCTTAACTAACTGAGGCCATCTCCCTAGCCCTTTGAATTATTTATGTTCACATAATTTTCTAAAATGGGAAAGGAAAAATAAAAAAACCCCAATTTAATTTCATAGTCTTTGGAGGACTCCATTGGAAAAAATGATTTGAAGTAAAATTTCAATGGTGTTTGTTTAGATAAGGTATACTAACATCACAGTCCTTCAAATCAATTTGAAAATGTTTTTAGCCCAAATGAAGCAGTAGAGATCTATAAGGGTGTAATTTGGTAGAGGAGATGTAGAATACTTGTATTCTATTGAGAATAACTGACTCACAGGCCAAAATTACTGGAGTTAAACTAAGTTATATTTTAGTTTTAGGTTTTGTTTTGAAGAGAGGAAAAATTTCAACTTAACCCTTTTTAAGATTAAGACAGGGACTGGAGAGATGGCTCAGGGGTTAAGAGCAGTGGACCTGGGTTCAGTTCCCAGCACCCACAGCTGTCCATAGCTCCAGTTCCAGGGGATCTGGCATCCTCTTCTGACTTCCGTGGGCATTGCATGAGATAGATGCACTTACGTATATGTAGGAAATACATGTGGTCACATAAAATAAAAATAATAAAATATTTTTAAGATTAAGAGCAGAGGGGCTGGAGAGATGGCTCAGCGGTTAAGAGCACTGATTGCTCCTGCAGAGGACCTGGGTTCAATTCTCAGCACCCACATGGCACCTACGAACTGTCCTTAACTCCAGTTCCAGGGGAATCTGAAGCCCTCTTCTGACCTCCGTGGCATTGCGCAACACAGGTGCACTCACATACATGCAGGCAATACACTCATACACATAAAAATAATAAAATGTTTTTTAAAAAGATTAAGAGCAGAGAATATAATTGCACGAATAATTATAATTTGAAAAGGGTACCTGATAATGAATAAAAAACAAATAATGTATGTTGTGACAAGCTAAGAACGTCATCTGCTATAAGATCCCTTCTGGAAGCTTTAGGAATAAGTCCCATCATAAATATTTCCTTTTTAAAATTGATTGTTAATGAATAAATGCATTTATATTTTAACATGGTGTTGATGCTTGGACACAGTTTCACTTTGTCTGGCCCTGCTTAAAGTAAAATAAAATAAACTGAATAGTTAATGACAGCAATCCATCAGTTTATGGTGTAGAACATGATGTGAAGAGGAGGAGTAATAGTTATAACACCTAGAAAAAGGGTAGCAATCACTCAATAGCTGTTGGTTGGTTGGTTGGTTGGTTGGTTGGTGGTGCTGAGAATCAAGCCAAATACTACTAAGTTCTTAATAGGACGAAGGGAGGGAGTGTGGAGAAGGGTTGTTTGTGTGTGTGCGTATCTGTTTGTCTGTCATGTCCTCAGAATCAAAGTTAATAGGTAAATACAAAGTTCTATATTGGGTTTGTGTTTTCTCATGAAAAAGACTCTGTATTAGTGTTTGTGTTTGTACCACTTTGTTTTTCAAAAAGGTTCCTTGTACTGAATATATAAATACTAGCTTATTTCATTAACATCCAGATAGTTAGCAAATACTGAATTCACAAGTTTCTGGCTGCCTTGTTCATGAGAGCAGGAAAAAGGAGGGAAGAAAAAGTCATAGTATCATTGTGCTGTGGCATATTCTACCAGTGCTGACTAAGTGATCGAGATAGTGTATTGCCCCTGTTCACTGTAAAGGCATTTTTTATACAACTACACAACCTGTGCTCATTCTTGTGTGTCTTTTAATTCTTACTTTGGAGTAAACAGAAACCTGGATGAATAAGAAGGGCAAAATTTGATGGTAAGGGGTCCATCATTTGCTCTTATTTTGAATACATTTTTCTTCGGTCTATGCAGTGACATATAAGCAAGGTGGGAGGACAAAAGATTCTTTCTTCATGCTCTTCTCCCAGCCCAAAGACTAGACCATACAGTTATTGCCAACTGTTTACTTCTCCAATCCCCATTCTGCCGTTGTCGCTTTTGTTTCTCTAGGCTAGATTCTTTTTCTGAATGGTAGAGTAAGTTGAAACAGTGGCTGATTGTGATTTTTTTCTCTCCACTCAATTAGTGTACTTACTTTGTTTATATTTGGTATTTATTAATATTTTTGTTGAAGATATATGGGAAATTCACGACCATAATGAAATGCAATTTGATTTTATTATTTATTTTAGTTTATGAGTTTTGTGTGGTACTTAAGAAATCTTTGCCAAGCCTGGGGTCACTAAGATTTTGTGTTGAATTGAGAAATTCAGAGAGAGAGAGAGAGAGAGAGAGAGAGAGAGAGAGAGAGAGAAAGTAAGTTTCGTGATGTAGCCCCAGCTTGCCTGGAACTCTCTATGTAGATCATCCCAGACTGCCT